GATAAATATAGAGGGGGGGGGGACAGGACTGCGATTAGGGGAATTGGTCTAAGTGGTCAGCACCTGCCCTCTGTGGTTGGGGTGGCCAGGAGCCCCTTTCAGACCCTCCAGAAAACGGGTGATCTTTCTGCCTTAGGCACACACAGGACCCAGGTGTCCCCAAGCTTCTAGGCCGGGCAGGGTCGGCTCTGTGAGTCAGGCCATTGCTTCCCTCACGCTCCACCTCCACCCCCCTCCCGGGAGCTTGGGGACAGGTGTCCCTGACCCCCCTCCCCCACCTTCCTCTCTTGGCTTTAGCAGTCTTCTCGCAATGGGACGATGGGGCAGCTCCTGCCTGACCTGGCCCCTGGATGGGTTTGTGGCCTCTCTCAGACCCCAGTCTACAGTTGAAGTTCGAAGGCATGGGGGGTGGGGGGCGGGGAGGCGCAAAATCTCCTATGGCATCTCCCCCTGAGAGTGTACACCATTCCTCAGCCTGGCCAGCCCTTCCTGAGCCCAGCAAAGGGACAGGGTCTCTGATGACATTGTGTCTCAGGGGTGTCTGCGGGAGGGCATAAAAGCTCTTGGAGAAAGCCCTATACTGAGGGACCCTCTTCCCTTCACTCACCTCTGTGCCACCTCTCCCTTTTCAAAAGGTCGGGCAGCTAAGGCCCAAAGACGGAAGGGGACTTCAAGGTTCCTCTCTTACATCCCTGGGCAGTTAGTGCCAGACTTGGTATCAGAACCCAGGTCTCCTGACTCCCGGTCCAGGGCTCTTTCTACGCCACCAAACCCCTGCTTGCATCGTTGGAGTGTAACCCCGACAAGGCTTTTTAGCTCCAGCTGTGCTGTAGACGCCGGTGGGAGGGGCGAGCCCCGCGGTTTCAGAAGCTCCATCCCAGTCTGGACCGCTCCTTGGTTCTTCAGTCCCCTGGGCTGCACTGTCCTGGGGCCGAGCCTTGCGCATCCCGAGAGGAGGGCTCTGACCCTGAGCCTCTTTCCCCAGGGCCCCTTGGACGTGACGCTGACTCAACCGGTGAGGAGCGGGCCCATCTCAGACAGGTGAGCACCTCCTCTGCATCCCGCGGTCCGGAGACCCCAGCCCGTCCCCAGGACCCCCATAGTCGCCGCCTTCCCTCTCGCGATTGTGCAATAAGGGAGAGTCCTTACGCCGGACGCTGTGGTTTGGCTGGGGTCCCGAGGGGGCGGTCCGGCTGGGGGCGCCGGGAGGAAGGGGGGGACCCGGCTATTTTTGGTGAGAAGTCAGACCGGCCCAGCAGTTCCCACAGCCTGGGGGAGGGGTGCCCGGCTCCGCACCCCTTGCTGTCTGGGGAACCCCTATTGAGCCCCCTGGAGGCCCGGTGCAGGACCGGCAGCCCCGCCCAACCCTTCCTCCCCTCTGGCCCAGGCTGCAGAGCTGGGAGGAGACGCGGAGCCTCATCCCGGAGAAGGGGCCACTGGAGGAGGACGCGGATGTTGTGGTGAAAGGTGAGGACCCCCCTCAGGCGTTCTGGGTGCCCCTCAGTCCTCAGACTCCTGGGGATAATGTCTTCGCCTGCTGGTCCCCTCTCCCCAGGTTGGTTGTACCGCGAGCCCCGTGGACGAGGGGCTCGGCCCTGGTTGCCCCCACGCCGGGCCTGGTTCGTCCTCACCCGGGACTCCCTGGACCAGTTCAGCAGCAGCGGGAAGGGGGCGCGGCGCTTGGGGAGCCTCGTGCTCACCAGCCTGTGCTCGGTGACCGGCCCGGAGCGCAGGCCCAAGGAGACGGGTGAGCCCTGTGAGAATTCCCCTACCTCCCCGGGTAGTGGCCCCAGCTGGCCCTGATGGCCCTCCACGGCCTCTCTCTCCCGCAGGTCTGTGGTTAGTGACCGTGTCTGGCCGGAAGCATAGTGTCCGGCTCTGCTCCCCGCGTCAGGCCGAAGCTGAGCGCTGGGGGGTGGCGCTACGAGAAGTGATCGCCTCCAAGGCCCCGCTGGAGACCCCCACCCAGCTGCTGCTCAGGGACATTGAGGTAGGAGGGGGGGCTCCGCTGAGAAAGAGGAGGGTGGTGGGCCAGCAGCTTCCCGGATTCATGGGGAGCCCCCTTCTCCATCACCGTGACCCTTTCCTTGGCCTCTAGGAGAGTTGCGGGGATCCAGAGGCCGTGGCCCTCATTTACCGCCGGAACCCTATTCTGAGGCACACCAGTGGGGCCCTGTATGCCCCACTTCTGCCCCTGCCCTATGGAGCCAGCGCCCCAGGTGAGTGGTGCCAGCAGCCCAATCCCTCGGATGGGGGATCTGAATGCCTCACCCGAGACCTAGGAGTCCTCAGGGGACCTATCCAGCCCCCCACTTTTTAAAGAAGGAAGCTGAAACCAGAGCTGAGCAGACTGATACGCAGGGTGGCAGGGTGGCAAGCCATCACACACACAAAAAAGGCCCCCTTTGACCTTTTTTTAATAGCAGAGGTGGAAATTTATTGAGAAACAAGCCCAGACTCCCACGTGGGGAGGGGGCAAGAGTCCCCTGACCTTTTTTTCTGACTACTGGTGTTCTTTCACGAGTTTTTACCCTGTTTCCTATTCTTTTATTATGCCCTTGAGACCATGCCATACTACCTTGACAAGTGGTGGGAAAGCCACCACTTTGGGAGAATGTGCTCACCTCATCCAGCTGTTTCTCCCCAGATGGGATCAGTGACTGGCCCCTGGTCCTAAAGCTAGAGGAGTCAAGGGAGTGGGGAGCAGAACCCTGGTCTTCTGACTTCCAGTCCAGCCTGTTTTCTGGCCCATGGTGATGGCTCTCTGTGCCCAATTACAGAACCTATGTCCTTTCGTCTATCCCTCTACCTTTATAACTGCAAGTGCAGCTTTAGCAGAAGGGAAGATTCCTGGGAGGCAGGGGTTGAGAGTTTGGCTCTGTGGGGACCATTGCTTTCCCTTCACTCTTCCTGTCGTTCGTACTCTCCCTTCCTTGCCACCCTCTGTCCCCTTACACTCCCTCCGACCTCCCCTGGTTCATGCTTTCCTCCCAGGGCTCAGCTCTGCGTCCCCTCTCCAAACCGTCCCTCCGCCCCCGCCCTTCTGCAGGTCCTGGCTACGCACCCTTGCGTGAGGAGGCGGTCCGGCTGTTCCTGGCGCTGCAGGCCCTGGAGGGGGCGCGGCGCCCCGGGCCCCTGATGCAGGGTGTACTCCAGACCTGCCGGGACCTGCCCGCTCTTCGCGACGAACTCTTTCTGCAGTTGGCTAAGCAGACCTCGGGCCCCGCGGGCCCCCCCGGGCTCCCGGCTACCCAAGACCCCGCGGCCCTCCGGTACTGGCAGCTCCTTACCTGCATGAGTTGTACCTTCCGGCCTGGCGGAGCGGTACGCGGGCATCTCCTGGGACATCTGGAGAGGTG